ATGTTCGACTTCCAAAACAAATGTAGTAATACAAAATGTTGCCAAATTTTAATTTAATAGTATCCCTGGTAATGTGAAACAGTCATTTATTTGCCTGGTATGTTTCTTTGCCATTCTAGGTTGTTTCCTGTTACAGTCATCAGTGTTTCCTCAACATTAGGATGGTTTCTTTCAGTCTTTTTAGTCTTTTTCCTACTTAGTTTTTGGGGGGAGGCTGTTCACTAGTTTCGGAGGTAAATCTTGCCAGTTTTTAGGAAAAGAACACCCCTAAACTTTCAGTTGACTTCAGTAGCATTTCTCCCACGAGGTACAGATTAGTAGTCTGACTGTGGGATCTAGATGTGTTTTTTATGAGTTTGTAACTTGGAAAGTGTCTATGGGAAAGCACGGTGCAGCTGAGACTGGAATCACTGCCTTTGCAGCTTTGACCTTGGACTCCAACTGTGGGAATGTTCTTCTTATTATGGGAGGATGCTGCTTACACAGGGCTATAGACAAAGGAAATATTTTACTTTTATATCAAGTCTACAATGGATTTTTTTCCCCCTGATGTAGCAATATTGGTTGCAGGTGTTTCATTTTTCAAGGTATTTCTCTTTTAAGGGCATCTCAAATGTAGATGTAATTCTTCTGTTATATAATGACTCTGCTGACACTTCATTTTCTAAACAAACTTATACAAAACATCTTTGTCTTTGACAAACTATAACAAAATGCATATCTCACGCTGAAACTGAAACTTGGTTTATTATTGAGAGCCAGACATCCCATTGCTGCAGTTATAAGTGTACTTCCTTCCCTGACAAGTATATGCAAGCATTCATTTCTCTCATTCTAATTCTTAGTATATTCTGATGTACTTGGCAGTTTATTTTATTCAGGGTAGATCATCTCTTTCCCAGCTAAAACATTCAGAATATCCTCTAAATATTTATTTGTGTTTTCCTGTTGGTATTTAGCAATTTGTGCAGTCTTTATTTAAAAATCTGAGTTSTGCCTGTTTATAGCATTCAAACTAAATTAAAGTCAACAAAGCATTCTAAAAGAAAACAAAGTCCCTCACAGACACCTAACTGATGGAAAATGCATGAAAAKCCTTTTAGTATAAAGTGGAAGTGCCTGGTTTCTGCTGAAAGATCTAATGTTGCATGGGTATTACCAAGCTCATTGAGGTACAGTCATGAATAGGTTTACAATCTTGCAGACAATTGATTACTTGTTTGTATTGTTGGCGCCTTTCTATTTAACATTGTTTATATTTTGGTTTGGTTTTGTGTGTGTGTGTGTGAGGTTACAGGGTTTTTTTTAGCTTAGACAAAGCCTGGGATATGAAGGTGATATGGAGCAGTGTCTCTCTCTCTCTCGTGCTGCTGCTCAGTGTCCCTGTATCACTCATCTGGTGGCACATTTGGTTCTTGGCCAGAGGGCAAGACTKCAGTTTCAGAGCAAGACCAAACAAGCATTTGTTTTTATCAGTGCTTCAGTGCACCATTAGCTTGACAGAAGCCTCTTTTCCAGTGTAGATTTTTATTCTGATGTCCTATAAATACATACTGCTCCTTTTAGGATAAGKGCTGAAAAATTAAATTTAATTTTGAGATCAGGTGTAAAACAGTCTCTATTTAGTGATTAGCACAAGAGAAGTTAATGTTTTCTCTACAGAAAAACAAAGTTTTGTATGGAATATTGTTATAAGAACATGTTTAGCAATAYTTAGTGGAAATAAATGCTTTATTAAAACAAGGTTTTGGAACAGAAGTACATTGCTATCTTTCATGCCTTTCTCATGGTGACTATCCATTCATTAGATTGACCACCATTCATATTTCTCCTACTTGACTGAGGTGGTTTTTTTGAAAATAGTGGGGATTAAGGGAAGAATATTGCTACCAATGTGCTGTACCATACACTCCTGATGTCATTATTGCCCTTCCTGGATGGGCAATGGATTCCTTGGGAGGAGCACACTGAGAGYCTGAGACAAAGATAATTGATGAGGACCCAGCTGAGAGATGCTGAGCAGAATTCCCAGAACTTTTCCAGGCTGTGATGAGTGTTCCTCTATCCCACCACCAGCTCACCTAACAGTGTGTGCTTGTTCCGGAGCAGGATGAGCATATGGTGATATTTTCATGGAATTAGCCAGAGTATATATATATATATATTTTATAAATATATATATATAATAAAATATATTATAAAATATATTATTATATATATATATATATATATATATAAAGTTTATCCCAGCTTTAGACCTTTCTGCCAGCTGCTTGAAAGCAGGTGATGTCTAATCTGGTAGGAAGTGTAATGGTGCAAAAACAGCCTTTCAATACATCTTAAACAAATCTGAGAGAGGTGATTCCCACAGATATGTTGCTGCCACGACTTTCCTTTGTTGGTGTTATCAGATCAATTCTTTGCAAAATGTGACCATGGCATTCTGCATACAGAAACAGCAATCCTGAATTTCAATTTGCTCTTGTTGGACCATGAGTTTCACTGTCATATTTCCACTGGMAGATAACAAATTTAAGGAGGCCTTCATATACCCCAGATTTTTTTTCTTGTACCCATATGGTAATTTACCTGAACTAATGCTAAGGTGAGTAGGTTGACTGGGCTTTGGGGTAGACAAAATTGGGGGGAAAGAAGCAACACTGTAAGTTATTTACACTGAAAGGCACTCAGTTGTTTTCAGTTTTAAAAAGTTGAATTGATCTTTGGGGTCTGTAAAGAGATGTGGGCCCCAGCAASCCAAAACTGTACATTTAGATATGTTATTGGGGTTCTGGCACAAATCTGGTTCTTTGGGGTGCCAAATCCTCTTTCTAAGCTCTCAACATTTTTATAACAGCCTTTACAAGAACAGTAGCAGAGAAATGAGATACCTTGAAATGTGCTCTCAGTGCTTTATTTTACCCAGTGATAATTCTGAAGTTTCTGCCCAACCTGAGGAGTTGGAACAYTGGTGATACACCAGTGCCTGGTGAGTCAGCAAAAAAATAATACATCGAGGGAAAAAATGTAGTTTTCTGCTAATTGAACAGAACTGGA